TTTTTAATAAAAATAATACAAATGTTATGTTTTATTTTTATTTTAGTGATCCGTCGTTAGATTTATTTGTTGATTTAATGAAAATAATTATCATAATATGATATAATAATTATGTTAAATAATGTATGCCATTAAATTTAACCATTAAATTAGAAAATTTAATTTTGGGTTTGAATTCGAATAAAATACGATATCAATAAAATTTATGTATGAAATTAAGAATAAAAATATTTATATAATAACGAATAAAGTTTGTATATATATATACGTGTGTGTTTGACTTTATTTTTAAATATTAAATCCAATGCTCCAATTGATATGGATTCTAACCCAATCGAGTTGGATTGCAATTTTTTTAAAAACAGTAAATTACATATTTATTTACTCAATTATCATTTTAATTTTATTTTAATCATTCAATTATGTTTTGAAAATTTATTATTTATTATGCGTTTTGATTTTAATTTGGTTACTTATAATTGAAAAATATCAATAACGTTAATGTATCACCTGAAGAAATTCCATATCTTCATTGAAAAATAAAAAAATCAATTAAATTATATTAATTTTTAATAGCAGGTGAGCAAAACAAAATTAAGACATAAAGTAAATAATAATTAAGTGATTAAAATAAAATTATAGTGATAATTAGGTGACTAAATACATAGTTTAACCAAGAAAGAAACAAAAAGTTCGAACGACGGACACAATAACAAACCAGCAAGTCCCCTGATCTCCGTCTCCGTACCCGACAGAGAAAAAAAGAAGAGATACGGAAGTATTTGATAGAGGCGGATAATCTCATCGCGATGATTCTCGCAGTGTTATTCGCTAACTCTGAAGGGAATATCCTAGTTGAACGGTATGTCTTCCCCAGATCATACCCTCATATCGCTTCTGCATTTTTTTATTTTTATTTTTATTTTTTCTACTATGCTCTTTCTGTGTTCTAGTTTGTTGAATTAGTTTGTAATACTTGAATCTGCTCTATATAGATGTAGTTCTTTAATGGATCTTTGGATTTTGTTACGGAAAACGAATATTTTTATTTTACTTTCTGATGGGATTTGGTAGAGATTGGAAATGGGTGAGGTTTGGAAAACACATGATCTGTTGTGGCTTTAGAGGTAGAAGTAGAAACAAACAAGAATGATGGGGATATGAGATGGATTCAGACAAATGGTGTTGCCTTTGAGTTGATCAAATGATCATTCCCCCAATTGCCAATGAAATCCTACCTTCTCATATTTTTTTAACCTTTCCTGGGAACGGGATTTGGGAATTTGAACCTAGATTAAACCTCTGATATCAACTTAATAAACAAGTTAAGAGAATACTATCTAATCCAAGTTCAACTGAGGTCCTAAATCAAATCAAAACATATAAGGACCATAAGTTCAAATGTCTTGGAGAGTGATCACAACTATTCTTGTCATCCATATAACAATAACAGAAAAAGAGGCATTTGATTACATTTCCACGACTTTCTGTTTCCTAATCCCAAGAATCCTACAACTAACAATGGTCTCAGTCCTGTGAGAGTGAAGTAGCTTGTACATCTATAAATTATTTTTCTTTGTTGCTGCATTTCGATATTGGTATGTCCTTTTGAGGAATGTGTAGTTGAACTTCCAAATGAGAGTTCAGCTTGATATCTTATCTCTTATTGATAACATAGTTGAGCATTGCCTCTGGGATTATTTTATATTGCAGCTTTAATGGTGTTCCTGTTGAAGAACGGTTGCATTGGAGATCTTTCCTAGTTAAACTGGGAGCGGAAAATCTTAAAGGTGTTAAGAATGAAGAGCTGCTTGTTGCTTCTCACAAGTATGAATATCCTTCTCCCTTCATCCATTTTCTACTTTTGTATCTATCTTATAGCTATAATGCATGTTTTCCATCTCTAAAATGCCTTCAAGAATTATTCAACGGGGAATGGTTTCTGGGGTGGTCGGAAGGTTTAAATCTGGAGTAAATGATGTTTGCTACTACCAGAAAGCTTTATTGATCAGCGTGAAATGATTGCATTTGCCATTAGCACAGAATTGCTATGATCTTAGAAGTTTTATAGGCTTGCACCCAAACTTACCAACAAGGATGTATCCCGCAGCAAGCATACCATTTTATTTTAGTTCTGATGTTGAGGTGTTACACATGTAGCTAAAGTTAACTAAGTTGTAGATAGCATAATCAGCTGATCAACAGGCCTGGTTTACTGGATTCCTTTCCCAAACTTCCATCTTTATTCATGAAGCCTTGTAACTTCAATTACAGGAAAACCTGTTCTAAGAGTAAAAGAAAAACATTCACTCTCTACTCTGGAGTTGGGATGTGCTTTTGGCGGCCAATGAATCCTAATTCAAAATACATTTTTCAAGCAGTAGCATTAGTTTTGTGCTCGTCTTTTTTTCTGTCCTGAAATAATATAATCCCTGGAATTAACTGATCAGGGGCACAGGCTTCTTGTCTTTGTTAGTTGTGGATGGTCAGTGTCCAAAACTAAACTTGATCATGCAAGAGAAATTGTCTTATAAACATAAGTTTTGGGGTGGGGGGTGGGGGAGGGGAGACAATCTACTAATGGTATTACTGTGTGAAATATGTACTTTTATTCATGATCTCAATTTCACATTTATTGCATTATCAAAAAAGCAATAAAATGTTTTATCTTCAAGACCTGAAATATTGTAAGAGATTCATAATATACACATTTAAAAATAATAAATAAAAATATGTTATTATTTTTTTGTAGCTTAGGATAAATTTTTTGGGAGTTCTAGCATCATTCATCCGATAAAAATATTATCTTTTGACTAAGAGATATAAGTTTAAAGAACTTAACAATCATGTTCTTTTATCAGGTCTGTTTACATTGTTTACACAGTGCTCGGAGGTGTCAGCGTCTATGTAGTTGGCAAAGATGAGTATGATGAACTTGCATGTAAGTATACCTTGCGCTCTTTACACATACAACCTAAGTTTGTGAGAGGTGAAGAAGCTACAAACTTGAAACTTCTCAACTCAAAATATGTAACTTCCGTTCTGTTTGATGTTAGAGAACTTGATTGGGTCATAAATTCTTTCCTTGGATGATTTTCAATTTGAAAAGAAATGGATTTTCGATACATTGACTTGCATAAATCTCTATGCTCTTAGTTGGATAAGCTTCTCTATTACGTTTAACATGGCTTGCTTTTTACCCATAGTGTGGCCCATTCTTATGGTCTGTAACTTAAATGAATATTGCTTTTTTTATGAAATATAATTTAGTACTGTGTAAAATTAAAGAAAGAAATTTAACACTTCGATACTTGTAGTGCATTGAAAAGGGTATCAAATATATCGTCTAGCATGGTGCATTAAGTTACAAACCTTAAGTCATTACTGATTTACCTCAATTGTTTTGCTCTAGTGGCAGAGGTGATCTTTACTATAACCTCTGCTGTAAAGGATGTATGTGGGAAGCTACCAACAGAGCGCCTTTTTCTGGATAAGTATGGAAGGATATGCTTGACTTTAGATGAAATTATTTGGCAGGTGAGGTCACAAATTGGTATTCTATCAAAATTAATTTGGCTTTCTTACTTTGATCAGAAACTGTTGCTACTATTTTTTTATGATTGGAATACACACCCCTTGAGCGGGGCTTGAAAAAGCAATTATGATATTTCATCTGCCAATGATTATCAAAAAGGTAGGACTAATGTGGCATGTGGCAGCTCACTTCCTTTTGATGCCTAACCTAAGCACCTGTTATATCTCTGTGTCAGGAAATTGTTCCTTTTCGTCTGATTGTTAATTATCATCCAATTGCATTTTCCTAGTTGGCTACTGCTACTGACGTTTTTCCCACTCTTCTTTTCTAAATATTCTCAAGGGATATCTGGAGAACACAGATAAAGACAGGATCAAGAGGTTAGTACGTTTAAAACCCCCGACTGAGTTTTAGGCCAAGAATGCTCTACCATCGCTGCCTATTCAGAGACGTTAAATTTGGGTCTTGTACTCTACAGAAAGGCATGGTATATCGTACGTCGTAGTATGTATTTACCATGTGAGTGCTGTGTAATATCATGGTTCCTATTCTGAATTACAGATATTTTCACTTCTGGGTTTTGGAGCTTATGGATCTTTTTCATGGATTTTATGATATCTCACACTGTTTGGAAACCAGTGAAATGTTTTTTGAGTTGAAGTTCATGACTGTCTGAAAACATTTATCGTTCTTTAATATTAAAGTCATTAGCATGGTAATTGAGATTATGAATTTGGTATATTGTGCTTTTCCTGTAACACATGTTAATAATTGCTTTACGTGTCTCAACTGCAATTATTTGTATCATATTGTATCCCCATCTTATTGAAGTTTTTCTTTTAATTATATAAATATTTATAAAAAAGCTGCTTTGTCAAATCAAAGAAAACATTGGACAAACACGTGAATGAAAATCATAAACAGATGGGGTATAACTTTTCCACTTATGGATGAAAATGAATATAGCGTACAAATTAACATGAATAGAATTGTGATCTATTTGTTTAGGTTCACAAATAAATTCGTTTATCAGATTATCCTTATTGGTTTGTTTAGGTTCACGAATAAACTCTTTTATAAGTTTGTTTATGGAGCATAATTTCACTTTTTTTTACTTGCTAATAAAAAGATAGAAAAAAAATATTGATTGTCTAACATTAAACGAATGTTAAATGAATTGAACACGAACACTTTTAAAAGTAAATAATACAAACGCAAATATAATATTAAAAATTTAAATAAATACAAACAATACTTATAGTATTATTCATTCAAGTCTAGTTTATTTACACGCAAAAAAACAATCCGATTGGAGATTTTTTGTATTTATGGGTACAATGACTTGCCCAAGAATTTGGAAGCAGTCAAAGCAGGTGATTCACATCTCAAAGGATAATGCAGCATATTCTCTTGTATTTATCGCTACGATCCTCCGGATGGTGCCCAACACACAGAAGCAGTTTTATTTGTCATATTAATAAAGCATCTGCCTTTCTAACCAGTATCTCATGCCCTTCCGATACACTAGAGGATGACTTTTTACTCTATATAAATGTCAGTCCCTATGAAACCATTGGCTGCAGTATTAAACTCAATTCGTATATAGCAGAATATACTTGAATTCGGTGGCATCAACGAATATCCCACAATCTACCTCGTTATTATCTTCGTCCTTTCAGCAATATGATATATATATGTGTGTGTGTGTGTGTGTGTGCAATTGAGGGGATTAGTTTTTACAGGGAGAGAAGACATGAAACATGGAAAAAGACACAGAGCTGAAGTTGCAAGAAGCTTGCCCCAATGGGAACGCAAGTTCTTGGCATACAAGGCATTGAAGAGGAAACTGAAACTGGCAAACCCTAATTCAAATGGAAGAAACAGGCCAAGAGACATGGGCTTCAAACAGTCATTGAACAGGGAACTCGATAAGGTCAACACCTTTTATCTGGACAAAGAGGAAGACTATATCATCATGTTCAGGGTAAAAGCATCACAGTGTGTCATTGATCAACTTTGCATTTGTTTCTTGTTCAACGAAACAGTTAATCCTTCTGGTGTTTCCAGGAGCTCGAAAGCAGGGCTGAAAACCTAAATGGCAACGAAGAAATGTTGGAATTGCGGAGGGAACTCTTGGATTTTTATTCTGAAATGGTGATGCTACTTCATTACAGTGTCATCAACTTTACAGGTACAATACACTTAATCATGTTCTATCTAAAAACTTCGTTTCGTTCGAATCTCAACATCTGCAACCGACACGAAAAAAAAATGTTCCTGACCATAAAGAGCTTGAAACAAAACAGGGTTGATGAAGATTGTGAAGAAGCACAACAAACGTGCAGGTGGAGCCGTTCAGTCATCGTACATGCCTAGGGTTTTGCAGCAGCCGTTCTTCTCCACCGAGTTGCTTTACAATCTTATTAGGGGGTGTGAAGCCATACTTGAGCGCCTCTCTCCCCCGAATGATCCTTGATGAAGATCAATATTATGCTTCAGCTCCTGTTTTCTAATGATGTATAATAGGTGCTAGCTCTTGATGGCATGGCTTAATACAGTATTAGAGAGGAGAGGAGAGGAGAGGAATTGATGCTTTATTGTTCTACTATACGTCTCTGCTTCATGTATGATTGAATTTGAACTGTATGTTTACTTTGTTATAGAAATCATATGGGATCTTCTTCTCAATCTTTAATTTTGTGTGTGATTTTATCATCTGCCCAAGCAATGCCCCAAACACCTTGGAGTACATGAAGTATTCTTTATTCAAGAGATATGGCAATGAATTTTGTTGTACCTTCTTCCTATATTCTTTGCAAACCGCGTTTTTGCCGTCAATCCTTATCCCTATAGAAGCTTCTCGAGCTTCTAGATATTTTTGGAGTTTCATATATAGAGATGGGCATCGGTCGGGTTGGGTCGGGTTTTTGGTACACCCAACCTGACCCGAGAACAGAGAATCCTCCACCCGAGACCCGACCTGATATATAACTTAAAAATCCGACTGACCCTAAATAATAATAAAAAATATTTTTATTCAATAAAAATAATGACTTAATTGAAAAAATAATATATAGAATGTTATTATTGTAATTATTCTTAAATATTTAAGGTAAAATTATATATTTTTTCAGGTCGGGTATTTTCACCCTAAACCTGACCCCGACCCGACCCGAACATCACATAAAAAAACCCGACCGACCCGGATTTTTTTTAAATTTGACCCGATCGGCTCTGTTCCCGTCTGGTTCGAATCTCAAGTCCATCTCTATTTATATCTCTGGTTAAGCGCAATTTTTTAACATGATCGCTTATAATATTATAGATTAAATTTATTAATTGATATTTATATTTATTTAATATATCAATATACAAAAAATTATTTTTATCTTAAGTTTGATATCGATATTAATGACCTATACATAATAAGTCGCAACATAAAATTGGAAATGAGATCTCTTCATCACATAAATATATATCACGACTCTCTATCTAAACAAAAAAAAAATTAAAGAAATTAGTATAAACCCCAACAAATTTAAATATTTATCTGTTTAATTAACTATTAATATAAATTAATCTGAATTTAAATATTAAAAAAACTTATTTTAATGAAAATCTATTTTGTATTTAAATAATATTTATAAATAAATAACATGAGAGATCATGTCCATAATGATATTCATTTTTGAAATTTCATCGAAATTAGAAGTTAAAAAATAATTATATAAAAATCTTCATATTTTCCACCATGGTTTGATAGTAACAACGGCAATTCCGTCCAATAATTTATATTCCTTTCTCTGTCCTCAAACCCTAGATCTAGGGATTTAGTTTCCCTCCCCGTTTTCATTTTCTTGTTTCTGTTTTTTCTACATCATAACATCAAGAGAGAAACGAAAGTCGTACCTTTTATCGAAGCCGAAAGGTGTACGTTCTTCCACTTTGCATCTATCTCTTACTGTTTCGAATGTTGCAAAAGTTCAAAACCCGAACTGTGAATTCGGAAATAAAGTGGATTTTTTTAATAGGATGGGTGAGATAAAGGACAACGACGCCTATGAGGAAGAACTTCTCGACTATGAAGAGGAAGATGAAAAAGCCCCCGACTCTGTCTCCATTAAGGCTGCTGATTCTGTTAAAAAGTTAGTCTTTTTACTTCATATATTTTTCAAAATTTATTGCAGTATGTCATTTTAGTGTAAATATTTCATTTGTTTCTATTTTTTCAACAGAGAAAAAATGGGTGCTTTTTTTCTTTGATCTTTTGAAGTCGATGAAGTAGTTTAAAATTTGATGCTTAGCTGAAAACTGAATTTTACTTTTTAATTATTGGTGCCGTTTCATACGGATGTAATTTGAATATTAGGTTGTGGTCTTGTTGGGTTGGTTTTAATTTTTATTTTACGTGGTGTAGGGGGTATGTTGGAATTCATAGTTCGGGATTCAGAGACTTCCTGCTGAAACCAGAGCTGCTTCGAGCTATCGTGGATTCCGGATTTGAACATCCTTCAGGCAAATGTCTGATTTTAACATATGTTATTTCAATTTAAAGTGCTGTTTTGGATGACGCATTAACTGTCACTGTATAATTTGTAGTAATCTTTGAAAAGTTTGCCTTGAAATTATATTGTTAGCCTAATTATCCAGGCATGTTAGTATTCAGTATCATCATTGCATTTATTTTCTTTTCTGTTACTTTATATTGTCTGGTCAAACTCTTTTTTACTTTTTTTTTTGTATAGTTTTTAATTATATGTTTAAGTTAAGTTTGCTGGACATGCATATGGCTGAGTATACAATTCCTTTTTTTGTGTTTCCCAAGTAAAGCTTCATCTTTATTGACTGATCTATTCAATCTTGCTTGGTTTTTCTTTTTCTAACTTTTTCAAGATTTTGTTATCCAGGTAATCACTACCTCTATATTCATCATTTCAACACGAAAACTGGTTTGGTAACCTTTCCGTTAAAGGATCGGGAAGAACATTTATAATTTACTGAGGGTTCGCCTACTGCAATTTTATTTTCTTATTCATTAGTGCAACATGAGTGCATCCCTCAAGCTATTCTGGGAATGGATGTGATCTGCCAAGCAAAATCTGGTATGGGAAAGACAGCTGTTTTTGTTCTATCAACTCTTCAGCAAATTGAGCCAGTTGCTGGTCAAGTTGCTGCACTTGTTCTATGTCATACAAGAGAATTAGCTTACCAGGTGTGTTTCAGAGACTTCAATTTTTTGTTTGGAGTCAGCATGGCAGTTGGGGGTTGTAGTGCCATTTATATTTGGTTCCTTCTTAATAAGTATTACTTCATCTATGCTTTGACAGATTTGCCATGAGTTTGAGAGGTTCAGTACTTATCTGCCAGATATTAAAGTTGCTGTCTTCTATGGTGGTGTCAATATCAAGGTTCACAAGGATTTACTAAAGAACGAGTGTCCTCATATTGTTGCTGGAACCCCTGGAAGGATTTTGGCTCTTACCAGGGATAAAGATCTTAGTCTGAAGAATGTGAGGCATTTCATTCTTGATGAATGTGACAAGATGCTTGAGTCACTTGGTATGCTTTCTAAGTTCCTTTCATCTGCTGTAGATATACTACTTCTTAGGTGCTTTTTATTTTACTATATCCGTCAGTCATCATTTATATTTTTCAAATTGTATAGACATGAGGAGAGATGTGCAAGAGATCTTCAAGATGACTCCACATGACAAACAAGTTATGATGTTTTCAGCCACACTTAGCAAGGAAATCCGACCTGTGTGCAAGAAATTTATGCAAGATGTAATTACTTATTTTTAATGTCTGCTATTTTGTCTCTTCAATACTACTACTTTATGTGGGTAATATATAGTTTTTGCATGTACCATTCTTTAATGACAGGATACATACTTTTAGAAATTGAATTGCATTTAAATTTTGAAATATATTCCTCCTTTGATGGTCTTTTTTGATGTTTTTGCTGCAGCCCATGGAAATTTATGTTGATGATGAAGCCAAGTTGACTCTTCATGGTCTGGTACAGGTACGCATAGAGTTAACCACATCCCTTTATAGGCTTTGTTTGAATTTGAAGGAAACAAAGGTAAATGGTATAGAGGTGACCTTTTTTGTTTCACTAATTTTTTGGTCGGGTAGGAATCTGGATATAACTCTTTGTTCCTTCAAATTTGGAAGATTTATGGATGAAGATCCCTCTTTGAAAAATTCTGTTTGGCAAGAAAGAATTGTCCTTAATTTAACATTTCCATTTCAGACGATATAGTAGATTAATGACTTGGCCCTTTTTTTATGCATCACAAAATAAGGTTGGTTGGCAATGTATCCTTACCCCAGCCCACCACACCCCTTTCATTTTCATTTTTTAGCATCCAAACAAGGGAAACTTGTCCTTCCCTCTTCTTTTTCTCTTTCCTGGTCTTTGCAATTTTCTTGTAGACTCGTTGTTAATGCCTAGATAATTGTTTTCTACCCATGCAGCATTACATTAAATTGAGCGAGCTAGAGAAAAACCGCAAATTGAATGATCTCCTTGATGCCTTAGATTTCAACCAAGTAGTTATTTTTGTCAAAAGTGTGAACAGAGCAGCTGAGCTCAACAAGTTGCTTGTGGAGTGCAATTTCCCCTCTATCTGCATCCATTCTGGAATGTCCCAGGAAGAAAGGTATGCATCCATTACGTGATATTTTGTGGGCATGAGGGCTGATGTATCCATTTATCTATGATCTATGCCTTACATATTACTTTATCAACTTTCCTTTTGGTGTCGACGTGTAACGTGTTTGCACTAGGGTAGAAGTGAATTGAGAAGAGCTAGATATTTTAAGATTGTTTTGCCTATTTTGTTTCCTCTTATGGATTTACATCTTGCTATATCGGGTAGATTTGAAAAAATAACCTGAACCTGTTGGGTTCTGACTTGATATGATAGGATCTTTTTTTTCTGTTTGTTTTGTTTCTCTCTGAAAATGTGGTTCAGGAATGGGCAGGTCTGATTTTCTTATTGAAATATTTCAGGGTGGTTTGAGATAAAACCTGTTTTGCCCTACTTTCGGTTATTTACTATTTAGTATTTACTAATAAATATCCTCTTATGACTGTAGCGTTTGTGTTGATTAACTTTTTGTTGTGTATATGAAATGTATATTTCAGCTTAGGCATAAACATTCAGCTGTTTTCTTAGTATAAAATTTTCGTTTTGGAACGAGCTTCTGTTTTGTGCCTCTATTGTGTGTGAATGTGTGTATGCAATTTATCCTTTTCCTTTGAATCTAACCTGTTGTTGGCTCTGATTATTTGTTTATTATCTTTTAAGGTTGACACGATACAAGAGTTTCAAGGAAGGTCACAAAAGAATTCTTGTGGCCACAGATTTAGTTGGAAGGGGAATTGATATTGAGCGTGTTAACATTGTTATCAACTATGATATGCCAGACTCTGCTGATACCTACCTGCATAGGGTAAATTCTGTTTTTCCTTTATTGCAGTTGAACCAAAGTCATGCAGACCTCGACTTTCTATTATATTTCTCTGGGTTCTGTTATTGCAGGTTGGTAGAGCTGGTAGGTTTGGCACCAAGGGGCTTGCAATTACATATGTCTCATCGGCATCTGACTCTGATGTCCTTAATCAGGTTATAGATAATTTCTGTTTCATATACTCTATTTATGTATTTAATAGAACTAATTAGTCACTTTTGTTTAATAACTATTGTTACTTTGATGGTTTCAGGTTCAGGAAAGGTTTGAGGTGGATATAAAGGAGCTTCCCGAGCAGATTGATACTTCGACATACAGTAAGAAATTACCTTGTACTACGTGATGTTATAGTATGACTGATGCATGCACATGTGCATAATAATTTGCTTCACATGTCAAAACGTATTACATTAATGGATATGGACTGTATATACTGTCTCCAGTGTACTTGATTTGGTCCAAATATATTTACATATAGTTACAAGTGGTTCAATGAAGTAGGTTGTAGGCATTTCTGTTTCTAATCTGTGCAGCTAACTATTCATTTACTTGTTGAATGCATGATATGCCTCAGATGTTTCCTCTTTTTTCTGTTTGTTTAATCATTTTGGGGTCCAAGCTAACAGAATTTATTTATTGTGTAGTGCCTTCATGATGCTAGACATCGAAGCACTTGGGTTGATTTGGATTAGGAGTTATAGCACGAAAGGGCATGCCAGAACTGAGAATTGTTGTAAAACTATAGGTGGGATGGAAACATCTGTGCTGGAATTATCATTTTTGTTTTGATGTACTGCTTTTGTTCAATTAGATTGTTACCATTAAGACTGAATCTGTAGTTTACTTGGGGTTTGATCGGGATTTTTAGTCAACAAGTAATGGTTGGTTTCATTTCCTTTTTATTAATCTAAAGTGATTACAAGTAGTATTTGTTCTAAAGATTTTCAATCATTTGACAATGAAAGTTCAAACACATTTTCAGTCTCTGCTACCCGTATCTGGAATATCTAGGGATAATAATTATCCTTTTAACCATTGAGATAATTTAATTCGTCTGATTTCATGTTCTTCTTAGTTGTATGTTTCTTTTTTTATATTTGAATATTATTTGTGTAACTATATTATGTCGGGGCAAGTTTTCATATTGCCAGCACCCCCAAGCGATACAGGCCAAGAATTGCAGTATTTCTCTATGATGCTGCTCCATGCCTCATTCTTGACCAGTTGGAAGCTCCATAATAGTCTTAATTTTGGTTTAAACATCTTTTAAATTTATGTTAATTTTAAAATTAAACAATTTGATTCTTCTTGAAAGAGAATAATTTATTCATTGATACTAGAATAATATCTTTTTTTTATAATATAATCTTGTGCGCTAGAACAATAATTTTTATTGTTAAAATAATGCGCAAATAATTCCTTGATCGTAGGGTATTGTTTCATTATTGTTTTATAATTATTAAAAATGATAAAATGATCATTTGATTATAGGATGTTGATTTATTGAATCTCTAACTATTTAAAGTTATAAATTGGTTGTAGACTATTCAAATGTTTCAAATTTATCATTTTCCATTAAAAAGTTGATGGTTTTTTGGCAATTTTTTATTTTCTTTTTCGATTGATTGTCGTTTGTTTTTTTCATGGTTGGATTTGACGTCGTCACGACTTGTTAAGATGGTGCCCATTTGTTATCTTGTTGATATTCCCTTCTTTAAACCCTCGAGTTTGAATTGGATATGTAACCTGTGACTGTAGATAGTTATCTCACGATGTTTAGCTTTGATTTGCATTTTATCTGTGGTCTCCCAATTGTTTAATCCTCTGTTGTTATTCGTTTTCCATAGCAGTCAGATTTGTCCGTATTTACTTTTTTGTTTAAGATTTTATGGAGGGGGTTTTCACTTTTTTTTTGTATGGTCCTGATATGAATTAGAGTGACTAATTTTTTTAATGATTTTATGAGAATATCCCAATTAAGTACTTAGTTGACAAATTTTATTGGAAACATCTATTTTAATTTTGGAATTTTTTATTTATTCATAAAATTGGTTATTTCTATTTCAAAAAATCAATTGATGTCCTTTTCAGTTGGACGTTAACATGTTAGTTAAAATATGATAAAATTTGATTCCAGAATCGTTTGAGGTGTATTTTATAGATCGAATTTTTGTTTACATTATATCGTCGAGCAATGCTTAAAAGTAACGACGATGTTAGTAGTAATCGTTAAAATATAATTTTATCATATCTCAGTCAATAGATTAACATTCATTTTAAACGACCATTAAAATTTTTAACAGAAAAAATAAATTTAGAAGATAAGAATAGTTAGATGTTAATAATTGAAAACTCAATAAATTAATATTTTATAATTAGACGATTATTTTATAATTTTTAATAATTAAATGAGTAATATCCTATAATCTATTTGCGTACGGTATACCCTAATTCTTTTCAGAAAAAGTATGGTCGGACAAATCTTTCATTGGCTAACATGGATTTATTAAATTAAACCCAATAAAAATATAGTCTGTCAGATATTTAGAAAAGTTTTCTCATCAACGTCATTTCACATGTGGCAATCAAAAGCCCTAATTCTATCTATTCAGTTTGGGCCTCTCGGGTATTCCCAATTTCTGATTGGTTTCCTTTCCATTTCTGTTTTTCCTTTTGGATTTTATGGGTTTTATTTTAGCAACTTCGGTTGATATATGATGTTGGTGGATCCCTGAATCTTGTTCTAATTTCCCATCTGCATTACTCGAGCTTGAGCAGCTGCACTCAAATGGTGTTTACCATTTGAGTGATTATAATCTGAAAATTTTAATGTCGGAGAGCTGCAATTCTCGGCACTTCTCATGGCTAATGAAGTCTTGTTTCCCAAACCAAAACCAGAAATCTTTGATAGTTACACCCCAACAACTCAACCCCACCGTTTCCCTAACCCTCTCTTCTCTTCCCGATGACCTCCTCTTGGAATGTCTTTCCAGGGTTCCTTCCTCTTCCCTCCCTTCCCTTTCCCTCGTCTGCCGCCGTTGGTTCTACCTCATTCTCTCCCCTTCTTTTCTCCTCCTCCGCCACCAACTCCGCCTCCTCCGCCCTTCCGTCTTCGCCTTCTCCGCAACCGACTCCGGTGCCTTTGCCGCCACCCTTTCTTTCTCTTTACCCAACCATTCTCATGCTGCTACTTGGGACCTCCCTTTATGTCTACCCATGAACACCGCATCGCTTTACAGTATCTCCAGGCTCGTTTCTATCGGACCCAGGATTTACATGATCGGTAGGAATTCCATGCTTAGGTACAACACTTGGACCCAACACGTTACTGCCAAATCTCCCATGCTTTTCTCTCGCAAAAAGTACGCCGCAGCGGTTGTTTCTGACAAGATTTACGTCGCCGGAGGTGTCGGTTCGAGGATTGGATCCGCCGTGGAGGAATACGACCCGGAAAACGATACTTGGCGCGTTGTTGCTTACTCGCAAAGGAGGCGTTATGGGTGCACTGGGGCAGCGGTGGATGGAGTCTTTTACGTTATTGGTGGATTGAAAATCGGTGGTGCGTCTGGGGATGGAGTTGGCAGGGTAGAAGCTCATGTTTACGCAAGCTCGATGGATTTGTACGATGTGGAGGCCCGTGTTTGGTTGCGAAGCAGAGCGGTACCTGGTGGCGGCTGTGTAGTGGCGGCGTGCGCTGTCGCCGGTTACGTATATGTTCTAACGAGCCACGCGGTGGAACTCTCGTTTTGGAGGTTCGACGCGCGGAGAAAATGCGGCGGCGGCGAAGGGTTTGGGGACTGGTGTCGGATGAAAAGTCCACCGATGCCGACTCAGATACGACTCGACGGGACGGTGAGGTTTTGTTGTGTAGGGGTTGGGGATAATAAAGTAATATTGGTACAAGTCGTGGGATGCATAGATGACTTGTTGAGAAGAGGCGGAAGGAGTGAAAGGGGTTTTAAAGACGGGCTTGTTTTGGTCTACGACAGCGCCGGTGGTGAGTGGAGTCGAGCGCCGGATCTACCGGAGGTAATACGACGCGCCGCCTGTGTGAGTGTGGAGTGTTAATCGGCTTAATTGCCCTATCAGAAGCTTTTTTTGGAGTTTTGTGTAGTGTAACAAGCAGACAAAATGATAGTTTGTAACGTTCAGGGAAGAAAAAGGGCCAAAAAGGATTGGGCACATATTTGATTAATAGAATTTGAGTGGTTGGAGTTTCGATTTTGTCATTGCCCTCTTTATTTTATTTAGTGATTAAAAAATTATTATTACTTTTCAATATCTTGGATTCAAACACTAAATATATAAGAATGTATATGCATTTAAGGTTAAATGGTGTCCCAATCGTCTTTTGGGTGTGTCTGGAATTGAGTTTCGATTTGAATAAAAACGTTATAGTCGCTACCGATCATTTAAAAATAATGTTTAGGTCGATCTGATACCATTTTACATAATAAGCATTTTACTAGAAATGTGTCGGGTTAGGGAGTCGGTTACAGTCAAAGAAGAATTAGCACCATTGAACTACCTTTTCGGTACCATTTAATTTGTCGGTTGTCTTAGTTACGAAAATTAAAATTTAAACATTCTATTCAAATTACTTACATTTGATTGGTTGAAAGTATCCCTAAAAAGTAAAAAATGTTAAATTAGAAATAATAAATAAATATTGAATAAATCAAAGGAAAAAATAAAAAATAAATCAAAGGAACAAAAGATGAAAAAAAAATTGAATAAATCAAAAAAATAAAATAAAAAACATACTAGAATTAAAAGGAAAAAAATGAATAACTAAAATAAAAAAATGCTAAAATTAAAAATAATGAATAACTAAAAATTTCAAGGACCAAATTGAAATGAATTGAAATTGATGGGTTAAATTGGTACTAAAAATGAGCTGCAAAGAAAAATAAAAAATTAGGGGCCAATTTGCAAAACATAAGAAATGTAACAGGGATTAAATTGAATAAATTGAAAATTCAGAGAAAAATTGAAATAGGTGACCAAAACGAATTACACATAAAAATATGGGGACAACGAAATAATTTAACTATTGACTAATTACGCAGTGGTCCCTCCCCTACAAATAACCCAAAATCGAAAAAATTTCATTTTTAACACAACAACAACAACAAAACCCTATTCCCAAATGTAATTGGGGTAAGGGGGAGGTAGGGTAGTTGGCTGCCCCCAATGCCAGGTTGAGAGCAGCTTCCGTAGAAGACCTCCGGCAGTTATAAAATTTAAAAATAAAGATAAAATGTAGTGCATGTATAAATAAATATATAAATACATAGATTAACAGTCTTCATATGCGCGTCTGTAATGGGAAGTAATCCCTGCAAATGAATCTCTGCGTAAAAATCTCTGTATATAGACAGAAACGTTAGACCCGAAAAAATTTAAAAAGATGAAACCATGACGAAATGATACACAATAGTCAACGATAACAAGCAACGAGAAGGAATAAAGTCAAAATGAGTTAAAACCTAAACTAAGGCAACACTACTCCGCTACACTAGTTCTAAGCCTTAATAAATTCCAATGATAGAGACGATAAAAAAAATAGAAGTCATGGAAATTACTACAAAGTCATTAAAAGAATACAGAGATGATACACCCTATGGATGTGACATGCACTACTCGACTACCTGATCCTAAGTCGGTCGAAATCCAGCCACCGCTCGATGGTCAACCACCGTCCGGACAGCCGCCTCTGGCGGCCGGAAAAATCAAACTTACTGAAAATGCTTATCTTGTCACCGTGAAGTAAGATTCAAACCTCAAATCTCCATAACAAAGCCCAAACAACGTAGATATAAGGAAAAGCACTCGGTTTTTACCTTTCCCGATGAGACCCTTCGTCTTTCGGTGGCTCATTCTTTTCCGAGCCCAGATCGGTGCTTCTTGTGTTTGTTTTCTTCGGTATTTCGTATATGTCTGGGCATTTTTGTGTTTGTGTGGTTATATATTTGTGGGTTTTTTTTGTTGTGGTTCGCTGTTGATGTGGCTCCGGTTGTTTTTCGTGATGGGTTCGTGTTTGCTTGATGATATTTGGTCGTTCCCTTGCCTTTTTTTGTGTACTGTTGTTGTAATTTGTTTTCCTCCCTTTCTTCGATGATTTTCGAGGTTTATATAACCCCACCGATGATGGTTGTTGCAAGGTTTTTCGGGATGGTTCAGTCCCGTTCAGCACGATTCTTGTTAGTGTCGTAACGTGTTGCAGCTTTTTCGATTTCTGGTGCCGGAAATCTCGGCCGATGGGTGTTTCGATTGATGCGTGACTTTCACGCGCCGTTGTCTTCTCTTCGAGCTACGCCTATGAAGGTGTAACCCTAAATCTCAAGTTTAGCTTTGAACCGGGTCAGCTGAATATTCGGGCTTAACCCGATTTTGGCCTTCTAGGTCAGGTTGGCCCTGATTTGGACCTTAAACAAAACAAATAAAATAAAATCATAGAAAGAAAAAAGAAAAATAATTAATAAAATAAAAACAAATAATATTAATGTAATATATAATAAAAATAAAAATTAATTTTAAAATTATATATTATATATGCTTCTAAAAATCATTTTTAAAAGCATATAATATATATTTTCAAAATATTTTTAAAAACTATATATTATATATAATTTCAAAAACTATATATATATATATATATATATGTGTGTGTGTGTGTGTGTTTTCAAAATGTTTTCAAAACTATATAATATATATATTTTCAAAAATGATTTCAAAACTATATATTATATATTTTTCAAAAAATGTTTTCAAAAACTATATATTATATATATATTCAAAAACTATATATCATGTATATTTTCAAAATGTTTTCAAAAACTATATTATATATATATATATCAAAATGGTTTCAAAAACTATATATTATATATGTTTTCAAAAACTATATAATATATTTTCAAAACCCGATTTTTTTAAAAGAAAGTACATATTATATGTTTTTTCAAACTGTTTTCTAAATAAGCTTCAGAAGAAAACGGGTGTCCACAAATGGCTAAGTCTTTAAACATTTAAAAATTATTTGTTATCGAATGATTGTTATAATAATTCGAGGATCTTATTAGAAATTATACGATGATTTTATCGGTTGCATAGTGATCTTATAATCTCGTTACGCGTACATGGTATTTCCCCATGTTTGCATGCACGTTAACTAACAACGATATAGTTCAGAGGCAGGTAATTGACAGGCGATGCAGAGACACGTGTGACCATGCCAATCATCTTAGATCATAAAATAATTTTTGGAATAAAAACAATTTTGAAGGAAATGCAAAGAAGAAAAAGTGTTGGTTTTGAATAAACATTACAAGTAACCAAAATAGAAAAGTGATTAGTAGATCCTTTAATAAACATGTTACCTGGTTTTAATAGCACAAGACAATAGTCTTAGTCTTCTAGCCCATCTCACCAATGCCCACCTAAACCAAAACCAAATGGCCCACCGTCCTTACCTGGCCCCACTGATCTCACAACCCACATTTCATCACCCTACTTTAAACCCTGTTGGGCTGAGTACCCAGATGTAGGGATAAGCATTCGGTCAAGTGGAGTCAGATTGTTTGAGCCATTCGAGTTGATAAGTCCTATTTTATAATTGAAATTTTATTTGAAATTTTTTCAAGTGAGTTGTTCGAGTTTATTTTTAGATTTAGTTGTAAATATTTGTAATATTGTGATAATATTCGATTCCAATATAAATTGTTTTCTATAATTATATAGAGTTGTGGGACTTACTCAAATTTGAAAATAAATATACTAATTATTAATTTTTTTTGAGTTATCCGAGTTTTATTTTAAAAATGACTTCACTTTATTTTTTTTAGTCGAGTCAAATTTGCCCATACCCAATTGAAAATTAATAAAATTACGTGCACAAATACAAATGATTAGGAGATTTTACGACGAAATTATAAATTAATGGTTTTGGTGAAAAAAATGACGGCGAGGCGATTTTCCCAAAAAATCACTCTTACTTATTAATTTTTCCTGTCAGGCACCGTTCAAACTATATTTTTTGATCTAACACCTTTTGCAGTAAGGCGCCTAAACGTGTAAAAAATTCGGGTGTTAATTTTGTAAATATTTTTAAAATGGTGCCTAATATGTAATTAATTTATTTTAAGGTGATATTTGTGTAAAAACATCAATTTTATTTATTTATTTTTGTGTGTGAAAAAAAAACTTTCTACATTAAAATCTTTAAATATAATTTTGCAAATTATTATATAACTTGACGAATTTTGATTTTTGCATGAAATTACACAATACGTACAATCTAGTATAGCAAAACTTTGAGGGTAAGTATTTTAAAATATGAATAATTTTATAAAAGTTTTATAACTAGTATTTCTTTTTCAAATGATGATGATGATAATAAATATTTTATAATTTAAAAAATTATAAATTTTATATATTTTTGAAAAAAATTGAATTTATATTCTTTTTGTTTTGAATTTTATTCATTTTTAATTTTTATTGTATTTTTATTATTTAAAAAAGTGAATAATAATTCATTTGATCTATCAATTGTAAGATTTTTGCATTAAATTACACAATACGTATAATCTAGTATAGTAAAACTTGAGGGTATGTATTTTAAAATATGAATAATTTTATAAAAGTTTTATAACTAGTATTTCTTTTTTCAAAATGTTGATGATAATAAATATTTTATAATTTAAAAGAATTATAAATTTATATATTTTTGAAAAAAAATTGACTTTTAAAATTAATTGTTTAAAAATATAAAAATAAACTTTTAAAATTAATAATATTTATTCATTTTTAATAAAATTAGAATTTAATATTTATTTTATATTTCTTAAAATTAATATTAAAAGGAATATTTTAAATAAAGAGGTGATATTTTTTAGCTTTATATTTTTTTATTGAATTTTATTCACTTTTAATTCTTTTCATTATATTTTTATTGATTTTTAAAAAAGTGAATAATAATTCATTTGATCTATCAATTGTAATTAAAAGTATAAAAATGCAATAAAAAAAATTAAAAGTGAATAAAATTCAATACAAAAATAATATAAAGTCAATTTTTTTCAAAAATATATAAAATTTATAATTTTTAAATTATAAAATATTTATTATCATCATCATTTTGAAAAAGAAATAATAGTTATAAAATTATTCATATTTTAAAATACTTACCCTCAAAGATTTTCTCTATTAGATTATACGTATTGTTTAATTTCATGCAAAAATCAAAATTCGTCGAGTTATAAAATAATTTACAAAATAATATTTAAAGATTTAATGTAGAATTTTTTTTCACACACAAAAATAAATAAATAAAGTTGGTGTTTTTATACAAATATCACCTTAAAAGAAATTAATTATATATTATACACCATTTTAAAAATATTTACAAAATTAGCATCCGGATTTTTTTTACACGTTTAAGCGCCTTACTGCAAAGGGTATTAGATCGAAAAATATAATCGAAACGGTGTCTGACAGAAAAAATTAGCGGGTAAGGGTGATATTTTGGGAAAATCGCGAATGGACAATAGATGATTGACTGTTTAATGGTAGTGAAACTGTGAAAGCAGCGGTGACTACTTATGATGTTTGATAGTGAAGTTTGAAATTAAGAATTTTAGATTCTCAATTTTTTATTTTAATAATTTTAAGTTATTTATTTATTTATAAATATGTTACATTTCAAATAGCTGACGTATTTGTTTTAATGATCGTAATGACTATATACTTAAAATAATAACGCTAAAAAAATTAGATATTAATCTTAAAAAAATATTTTAAACATTTAAAATTAAAAAAAAAGTTTATGGTTTGAGCCCTCAATTTCTATCAACTCAAACATATATAATAGGATTATAAATTATCAAAATTTATATAAATGTATAATATACTGCAGCGGCACTGCGTCTTTATTTGGTGCTATACACTGCAACTGCAAAGGAGGAAGAAAAACAACGAAACCGAAGCAGATCGAATAGAGAAAAAATGGGTTGGATCGGAGACACCTTAGATTCCGTCAAATCAATCCAGATCCGCCAGCTCCTCACCCAGGCCGTCAGCCTTGGTACGTTTCTAACTAAATATCCATGATTGTTTAATTTCTCCTTCTTGTTTTTTCGTTCTAACTCATCCATTCTCAACCTGTTTTTGAGTCCAAAATGCGACAGTTTTTAAATCTTTTGAGAAATCCAACTCAAATTGCGTTACACTTTTAAGAATCGAGAACACGGTTTTACCTTCTTATTTTCAGATAGATCCAGAGGGTGTATGGATTTGTTTAGTGGGTTTTGGGGGTTTAATAGTTAGCACTTCACTTGTTTGCTCATACAGAAAGATGTAGTGTTTCAGGTATGATTGTTACATCGGCCCTCATAATATGGAAAGGATTGATGTGTGTCACTGGCAGTGAATCGCCTGTTGTCGTCGTTCTTTCAGGAAGTATGGAACCTGGCTTCAAGAGGGTAAGTTATCATAACAACAGAATGTTTGAATGATTTTGATGGGTTTCACTCGTTAAGTTCTTTCCATGTATTTGGAGGACCATACTCCTACACCTACGTACGCCTATGTTTGAATATAATTGGACTCGGATAATCAAGGGAAATAAGGGGTTTGGATAACTTAGTCATTTCAGGAATAAACATAAGAGTGATTGAAATTGAAGGTTTAATGTCTTTGAAATTCTAGATTTACAGATAAAGGATATGGACATGGCTGAACCTGCCATATAACACCTTATAATGAGTACCATTTCCCCCTCAAATATGTTCTGAGTTGTATATGATATGTTACTTAAAGCTTTAACTGATAACATGAATCATTTCTATTTTAATTAGAAATTTCCCCCTTGAAATTAATATCAATTTATTTCTACCTTGTATGTTTCCATTACTCATTATCATGAATCAGGACAATGTTGTTCCGGTCCCTGCTTTATCTGACATTTAATTAGGGAAAACTTAAGTATTTGGTTGGTGGTGACTGCACCCTGCTAGTTATTGTTAGTAATCTGCCAATAATCATGTGATTTGAATTTTTTTAATGACGTATTTTGTGTAGTAAGATCAGAATGAAAGTAATTTTCATATAACCATTTAAATGGACCTACTTGACATGTTTGATCACTGTTGTTTATTTGGATTCCGATGTCTGTAGCTGTTGTTTAACTAATTAGGATTATGTCATATGTAGGGGGATATTTTATTCTTACACATGAGTAAGGATCCTATCCGAGCAGGGGAGATTGTGGTTTTTAACATTGATGTAAGTGCGTTTGTTTTTTTCCCTTATTTTTTGATTTATTCTGTATTTTTCCATTGTTGTTACGGCTGTTTCGTCCTTCATGTTGTTTGGCTAATTCAATTGTCAAACTGTGAATTTCTCAGGGCCGTGAAATCCCAATTGTGCATCGTGTAATTAAGGTAACTTTTTAAATATGTAATACTTGTTTTTATTGATCTTGAACTGAGCTGTATGTATTATGACTGCAAAAAGCAATTTTCAAATGATTATGAAGCATTGCTATTACCATGTCCATCTGGACATTCGTACATATGAGCAACATATATTTTACTTGTAGAATAGAAGCAACGAATCAATCGACTTGACTTGCAAAGTTGTATAAAAAAATGTTTCCCATGTAAGAGTCAGTGTTTGGGGAACATATATTTGCTTGGGCAATTATACATGATTCATCATTTGATTAGTCATAGATGCTTAGTGACTGATTTTTGTTGCTACTTATATGGTCTGAGCCTCTGAGGATTATTTAAGAAGCCGGTCTTCATAGATAAACTTAAAGGGACATTGGCTGCTGGATAGCATTAGCAACCGGATAGCATTAGCAACCAAGCTTCTCTATGATTTCTCAGAAGGGCCGAGTTAGAAAGATAATAATTATTTAAGCTCACATATTCTTTATGCAAGTGAAAAATTGCAGCAAATTTGATGCCAAAAATCTGAAGTCATTGTGTTTGTTGAATTGTAATTTGTGTGTTATGTGTATTAAGTTTCTTTGTCTATTTCTTTGGGATTCTTATCTTTCTGAACAATTTGTAAAATATATCGGTTGTTTTCTTGTTTCCCTTATGGAATTATACTTACGTCCACCCATCTCAACCCCCTCCCCCGGCGCAACCTTTGTTATGTATTATCAGCAAGACATAATCACTCTCATAAGGCTGAAATTACATTTCTATTAGGAGAATTATGTTTTGTTCGAACTGTGATGGTTTGAGATTTTTCTTGCTGCTATAACTTGCCAATATTACTTTTGAAAATAATACTTGGGTTGATTGCTTTCTTTTTGGACCTGTGTTGAGCTAGCTGGCCTATGCATCAGCTATTCTTGACTTTCATGGTGTAACTTGAGACTCAGTTTCTTGAAACTATTTTAGCCTGGAAACACTTCTACTCAAATCTTTAGTATGAAACTGTAAAGTGGAAAGAAGAAATATTTTTTTTAGCAGATTCATCAATGAACATCTTTTGGCATCTGCTGAAATTTGATTTTTGATATTTCTGTAGGTCCATGAAAGGCAAGATACTGGAGAAGTTGATGTACTCACCAAAGGTGACAACTGATCTGGATGAATATTTAATTTGTTAGAAGTTGCCAGAATTGCATTGTCTTGTATTTAAATGTTCTTCCTTTATATGTGAATTTTCAGGAGACAACAATTATGGGGATGACAGGCTTTTATATGCTCAAGGTCAGCTCTATCTTCAACGGCACCATATCATGGGCAGAGCTGTAGGGTAAAGCCTTTAGCCTTTGACCTTTCTTTTTGTGCGTAACAGATTATTGGTCATTCCCTGTATTCCTCTTCAAAATCATAGCATATCTTAAGAATCCGACACTCATGCACACATATATCTATATATATGCGTTTTATGGAGATAGGGCATATTGGGACATAGCTTTGTTAACTGCTTTAGTTTGAAATTTGGATCTTAATGTTCTGGTGTTAGACCACCCTCAAAGTTGGATAAAACGGGGTTCAAAGTTTGACATCTCTCACGTGTTTTGATTGGAAAGCATTCTAGTGACTAGAGAATGATACTGATGTTTTATATGTTTTGAAAGACTTGAATTGAGTTTCAGTACGAGTCAATTGTCCTGTTCGTCCTTAAAAGGTTTTGGTGTTGCTGTGCCTTTAGATTTTTGAGATATATTGAAAAGATATTGAATTCCTTAGTTTTGGGTTTGAACTGTTAAATTACTCTAAACATGTTTCAAGCAAAATGGTGGTCGTGTACTTTTCAGTGTGAAAAACATGTTCTAATCACATACTTCAAAATTGCAGGTTCTTGCCTTATGTTGGTTGGGTGACTATAATCATGACCGAAAAGCCAATTATCAAGGTTTGTTTTTTATATGACATGGATTACTTAAATTAGAAAGCCATTTCCCTATTGTGCTACAAAATATTTTCTGAACCTAGGCTAGTGGGTACTATTATGTCACAGTTATAACTTTTTGGGGTGGGGCCTTCCCCTTTCGCATTTCTGCATCTTTGCACCACTGGTGCAACAAAAACAAAATATTTTCCATCCGTTCAACTTCAAATTTGCCTTGGTTTCACTCTTATTTACATTTTTGGGGTTGAGGGTTGGTTTCTAGTTAAATGACCATTGTTTGTGATTTTCGAATAGTTACAAAGGTACCAAAATTTCAGGAGGCTAATAAAACCCTGTAGGGACATTAATGATCATGTCCTGGAATATCATAGTCATAATGGCTGTCGTTTTCATTGCAGTATATTCTCATCGGAGCATTGGGGTTGCTTGTCATAACTTCCAAAGACTGACAGTTGAAGCAAATAGGTGTGACCAAATCCGAAGGAGATCTGTCACAACAATTGCCAACTTCTACCCTCTCCTTTGTATCGGTCTTTCCTAACTTTTGTATACTGAGAATGGAATAGCTGTTTAATGTTTCGATAATTTAAGACAGTTAGAAAGATAGTGAAACAGGCTTCAGCAACCCTGGTTTTGCTTTATATAATTAAAATATTGGGATTTCATTTCTAACTTTACAAGTCCCATTTGAAAAGATTTTCGATCTTCTCGTCTTTTCTTCTTTTACAAACTTGATATTATCATCTTTATAACATTTCTATTGTCTTCCTTGCATCCATTAATTTTTCTTCTTACACAGGCTGAAAGTGGCCCTTTGATGTGATTGTATTTAGTGGTATCTTCTTTCTCAAACCCTGCAATATGTCATCATTATGGTTAAATTCAGAGACAAAGTTCCATATTCATCTGTGTGCTATATTTGTTCTCAAATAGGAAATGAAGAATATAGGGAATTTACTGTATGTATTCAATATTGATTTTCCTTCCATGTTTAAGTGCAATGGCTGCAAAAGCATCCCTGGACAGCATGATCGTAGAGGGGCAGGGTGTGAAAGGGCAGAAATCCACCACTTTGACATCAATGGTTCTCTGTTTACACGGTCTCTCGGGTCCGCTCAGGCATCTTAATCTGTAACGCCTCCCGCAGGCAGCACCATTGTCCCATAACCCCTCGCTGACCGCTGCAAACAGATTCCCTGGGGGAAACTGTTCCTCTCTGTTGCCATCACATTTGGTGGCTGCATTGCAAGAGAGAGCGCAGATGAATCGCTTACATATAATTTAAGGCTGATAAAAAGAAAAGATACTGACGTATATTTGGAGGATTATAATAGGATGCAGTGCCGATATCAGCATGAGTATGCTTCTTTGCTTATCACTGCAGCAATCATAATTGGAAAGATCAAGAGTCCCATTGCTTCCTCAAATGCAGAAAAACGTAAACTATATATTTCAATGCTTCTTTGCACATCATATATATATATATATATATATATATGAATGATATGGTAATTGAATGTTGTTAAGGAACAATTCAGGCAACCAAAAAGACGTTTAAGGTGACCAAACTTAGAAGTATTTAGTTTATTGTTATTAGTTTATAAATCTTGTTTCTAAGAGTTGCTTTTAATGAAATGACCATCCAGTTCAGTTGGTAGAGCACAAGACTCTTAACCTTGGGGTTGTGGGATTGAGACTCACGGAGGTTATTTTATAATTTGGAGGTCTCCTATGGAAGCTGTTCTCAATCTGACGTTGAGGGCAGCCTACTATCCTATCTCTCCCTTACCCCCATTACATATGGGAATAAGGGTCCGCTAATTTTTTTCTAAGAGTTGCTTTTAGTTTTGGGTAAACAACACTGGTCCTCATGTGCTTGTCTTCGTCGACTTTGGTCTCTGTTTTTAAAAAATAGTTTGGGTTCCTTTTGTTTTCACGCCAATTTTTATTAAAATTTATATGATTTTAATGAGAGTGATAATTAGGATCTTTATAATATTAATATGATAATTCACATTTATTTTACTATTGATGTGACATTAAATTTTATATTAATAAATAATTTATTATAAATGATGACATATATTATCATGTGAATAAAAATATACATATAGACTACTATTCCATTATCACATCTATGTTGTGAAGTATTTAACGATTTAACCCGTAGTCGTTTGACTAGAAAAATAATTTAATTAAATTATTAAAATTTATAATGATATAATTTAAAATTTACAGAATTGTGACGGGGCATGATATGTTATATAAAACCAACCTTAAACTGTGTCTGATTCATGAAAGTTACAAATTCAACACTATAAACGTCGAGTGAAAGCTACCTTTCATAATTTAACATCACAACAAATTTACACTTAAAAACGAATGACTAAGCCCATTTAACCAAGTTTTCCATTTATAATAAAGATTAAAATTAAAAATATTTTTAATGAGATAAAAATTATAATGAACTATCGAACATGTCTTAAATTTTAGGATTTAAAATAAATGTTTACATGATAAATTGATCCCTAAATAATAATCGAATAGATCTCTAAATGAAATGTTGTTTTAACCGATCATTATTTAAAAACTCGGATCAAATAAATTTTTAAAATTAGAAAAACATATCAGTTGATTCTTCATTTTAAAATTCTATAATCAAATTTTAAGATTTTATTTGATCACCAACTTTTAGATAATGGTTCAGTTCAAATAATATTCATTCAGATTTTTTTGAATTAATCACTGGTATCCGATCTATTGACCGACTAATCTAGATCGGGTATTGCAGAGGCGAGGTCGACGTTCCCAACCCAGTTTGCTTCATTCGCAAACACCAGGATTTGAACCCCTGACCTTGCTTAAGGGACCTAGTGCTTCATCCCAACAAAGACCAATGCATTTTACCAACTTATGTAAAGAAAATAATTTGGTATATAATCAAAAACTCCTAATGTTTGACAAAATAATCACTTTGATATCTATTTTTTAGGACATTTTAACTCTTAACATTTTACTTTTGAACAAAAATGCCCCTCTGTCGATAGAAATTGTTAGTCAACAAACTGTTAACGTTTCAAAATAAAAGCTTTCTTACTCTAAAATAAAACATTGAGGGTCAAATACTCAAAAAAAAAGAATAAAGGTCAAACGTTAGAGGCATTTTGTTTAAAAAAAAACATTGAGTGTCAAAATATTCTTTAAGAAAAAAAATACGAGTCAAAGTAACCATTTCAATAATCATTGAAGCTAATTTTAACATTGTACTGAATACTTTTATTTAAATTAAAAATTAATTATAAGTGACATCTAAAAATTATATTAATTTAATCCCAAAATTTCTCTACTACATTACTTGAGTAGGACATCGTCGAACTTTATTTTATAGAAATATAAAAATAATAAATAATAAAATAGTATATCAGTTTAAATCAAAACTTTTCCTTGATTTAAGTAACATCTAATTTTTCTCGTGCATCTTTGTCACCATGCACTAACGAAAAAGACATTAGCTTTACACAGTAGGAAGTATAGAAAACAATGTGATTACCAATAATAAGTTGATTTAGTAAGATAAGACATCAGATTCTTTAGCAATGTTAGAAGTTTGAACTCAGGTTTTTACGAATAAAGCAAACTGAGTTAGAAGGGTTGCCCCCATAATAGACCTCTGCAAAATTTGATCTGAATTAGTCAGTTAATTGATCGAATAATAGTAATTAATTAGAAAAGTAATGTGATTAGACTAATTGTTGATAATGAACTATACTTTATTATGCTAATTTAATCCAAACCAACCAGAAATTATGAGACCCACTTTTTATAAAGTCTTTTCCAAAAATAACGAAGGCTTGTGTAATAAACCTCTTATCAATTTAGGTAATAATTAAGTTAATTTTTAATAAATATAATTTTAATTGTAACTTTATTTTAAAATATACAATCAAATAAGTTCTTAAAATCTAATTATAATTTTTTTTAATTTAGATTAAAAATTAAAAAAATATTCAAATTACAATTAAAGTTTACAACCACAATCGTATATTGAAACACATAATAAGATCATTTTTTTATAATCATTAACACAATAAACTAATCTCTAAAGATCACACAAGAATCATATAAGGAAAATGTTAAAAACTTAATCAAATAAACTTGAATAAAGGGAGATACGAACAGATCCGATCACATCGGCTATTAAAGCTATTAAAGACCATCGAAAACTGTAAAGTAGAATCAAACAACGTGAGAAAACTGTCAATAAATGCAAATTGCATATCCAAATCCAATCTGGGAGTCCAAAGTAGGGAAGATCGACATGATAACAAATGAACACCATCTTGATCAGTCGTAGCAATGTCAGATCTAGCACCGAGAAAAATGAACGAAGATAACAACCAAACGACCGAAACATGCCAAAAGACAGAAGAATTATGTCATAAAAACAGAGGAAAATATGTCATAAAGACAAAACTATTATAAATTAAAAGAAAAAAGAAAAAAAGACACGACATAATCAAATAAAGAAAAGTAATGAATACCAGTTATCGACGATCAGCACTAAGGTTGATGTCGTCGTCGATTATAAAGATGAAGTAGAAAAAGATTAACAATATCATAAAAAACGAGGAGAAAATTAGAGTTAATTTTTTTTATTTTAAAATTATTTGATCATTTATTTTTAAATAAAGACTCAATGAATACAATATTTTACTAAAAAATATTAATTATAATCCAAGTCATTAAAAACTAATTTATTATATAATTCAATAATTAATGCACGCATTATTAATTATTGTGTGGATATCAAGTAAAAATCGGCGCAATACTTTTATTTTTTTAAAGTATTTCTTTTATCAAGCAGAAACAATTGGAATTTACCTAATTAGCCAATTATAATTGCGTCGTATTTATGTTAATTAGTGACGTTTAATGCTTTTTTTGCTTGTCTCTATTGCTATTGCTTACTTTCAGAACGTAATACATGTATTTAGGCTCTAATATGATCCGTGAAACCAAATAAATGATTAATTTGATCCAAGATCATTTAAAAGCTATATTTGATAGACAAAAGTCTTACGCAGATTTGAAACGAAGAAACATTGAATGAACAAAATTTGTCTATTCAGTTAGAAAGCGAAACTTAGAATGAGATTCATCGGACAATATGAAGTGATCGAAAGAATTGACCTGATAGCTTACCTATTAGCTTTGTTTACTAAAATAAGTTGAAATCATAATGTTTTTCGTGTTTCGATGTTCTAAAAATTCAATTTGATTTAATATACGAGAAAAGACCGATTAAAATTCTAGATTAAGAAGTAAAATAATAAAGAATAAGAGAATTTCGTTAGTGAAAGTCCTCTATAAAGATCATAAAATCGAGAAAAATTATTTCGGAGCCACATTTTTCACTCTAGGTAAAATTCAAGAACGAATATTCTCAAAATATTGAATAAGAATTTGCTGAGTCTGATGACAATAAAATATATTTTAGGATTAAAATATTCTATATATATTTTAGATTTAGGATCAAACTGAAAACCAAAAAGAGGAGATTGAAAGTATAAGGACCAAACTAAAAAGAATGCAAGAATAAGAGTTTTGCAGGGAAAGATACGAGAAATTCTAGTCATATATTTATTATAGCAAGTATAATTGATAAGGATAATGTTGTCACGTCTACGAGCGCAGATAAGTATAATTAATAATAAATATTATTAAATTAATTTATAAAACGATAAATTATAAAGTACTAAAAGAATAATTATAAATTAGTAAAAAAATTAAATGCAATTTAGTTAAAACACAATATTTATAAAACATTAGTTTTTATAATCTTATTTTAATTATAATTAGATCACATATTAATTTAAAAATTTTATAAACTCTAATTTATTTTTATAGCTTTGAAGTTCTTATCGTCGTCACCTCAGTCATTACTACAACCAATATCATTTTCACCTTCAACTGACGATAAAGACTAAATCAATGACGAAAGATGATACCGGTGACGAAAACAATGGTGATGACAACAGTGGTGACGATGAAAGCGGTAACTTTAAAGTTAGAAAAATGAATTAAGGTTTATAAATTTCTCAAATTAATATTTGATCTAATTATAATTAAAATAAAATTATTAAATTAATATTTTATAAATATTGTATTTTAATATAATCACATTTAATCTTTTATTAATTTATAATTATATATTTAATATTTTATAAATTAAAATTTTATTAATTAATTTAATAATACTCATCTTTAACGGTATTTATTTGAGTTTGACGAGCGTCGTAAATTTTTTCAATTGTTAAATAATAAAATGAAAAAATTGGGACAAAGGTTTGAGCAGAAAACGACAGGTCACAAAGTCACACACAAAATCTGACAAGAAATCGTTAAAAAAGATCAACAGCTTGCGTGTCTTACTTAGAATCTTCTCCTGACATTGTTCGGTTCATGATCGTGATCCTAGTCATCAAGTTACGTCTACGTGTCAAAATAATCTCTATCGCGGACACGTGTCTTCTTTATAAAATCCTCCCGTAGCGTATTTCCCTGTATATATAAACCCCTGTTCTGCTCCTTCTAATTTCAGGCTCTCCGTTTCGTTCATTGATTCATTCATTCTCTGCAACTCTTCAAATCTGTTTGGTATTTTTAGCAAACCATTTGTACGATTGGATTTCTAAACAATACTATCTTCTCTCGAAATCTTCATCTTTATTCTCTCGAGGCGGTTTGAATTATTTTTTCTCGGAAAAAGAGAAAATGAAGGAAAGTGTGGGAAATCCTCTTCACCTCAAATCTTTGAACCATATCTCGCTTGTGTGTCGATCGGTTGAGGAATCCATGAATTTCTATCAGAATGTTCTTGGGTTTGTTCCAATCAGGAGGCCTGGATCATTCGACTTTAATGGGGCTTGGTAATCATTAAAAACAATTTGTCCTTTTTTTTCAAGTTTAATTTGTTCGATGAAATTCCTAATAAATCTTGGATTAATTTTTTTTTGGGTATGATGTAGGTTGTTTGGACATGGAATTGGAGTCCATCTTCTGCAATCAGAGAATCCCGAGAATATGCCCATGAAAAAGAAAATCAATCCCAAGGATAACCACATTTCTTTTCAGGTTTTTTTTTCTGTTCAATTATTCTTAATGATTATACGAAACTAGGTTTCAGTGTTCAATTTTATCATGAAAATTCTGTTGCAATTTTCCTTTTACATTCTAGTGATTATAAGATAATATCTTCAGAATTTATCTGTCGCAAATTTGTTCAGATAATATCTTCAGTGTTCAATTACTCATAGCAGATATAGCTTTGCAGCTTGTATAACTCATGGATGTATTAATTTGTTCAGTGTGAGAGCATGGGGGCAGTGGAGAAGAAGCTGAAGGATATGGAAATAGAATACGTGAGGGCAATGGTGGAAGAAGCTGGGATCTACGTGGAACAACTCTTCTTCCACGACCCGGATGGGTTCATGATCGAGATATGCAACTGCGATAACCTGCCGGTGATCCCACTGGGCGGCGAGATGGTTCGATCCTGCTCTCGGATCAACCTGCAAGTGCTTCAACGTCAGCAGATACAGCAAGTGGTTCAGCAGTGAGACCCAGCAATGAGAATCATATGAGAAGAAAGCACACCCGTTCTGCTTTCTTTGTGTAATGATCCTATCTACGTATGTTTTTTCTTTAGTTTTGTAATAAAAAACACTGCAATGTGATCACGAGGGAAAGTGACCATTTTGGTTGATTGAAACTGGGTTTTTTTCTCTCATATACGTACGTACCTGTATACGTTCTTGATGGAATGGTTAGTATAATTTAATGCACAGGTGGAAGCTAGTTTTAATTGATGATGATGAATCAGTTTGTTATTTGGAACGAGACTAGAACTATACTTCCAAATGTATAGTTTTCTTACCATTAATTTATAAAATAAAATTTATTGTTCACCTTCGTTTGTCTCTATTCATGCTTTCGTTATTCATTGTACCAGATACGGATGTAGACGTTTTTCATCGTACCAGATGCGGATGAGTCTAATACATCATCATATCAAACAATGATATTAACTTGTCATCATATAATGGCATCTCATCATTAAAATATTATCAAGGAGATCAGATTTAAAAGTCTGTTTCAGTAAGGGCTCGTGATATAGCAAAGAAAATTACATTTGGCAGCATTCTCCACCATTATATCTTTACCCCACTCGACCAAACACGTCCAGTTGCAGACCAAACCGACAACAACATCCTAATTGAAACAAAACAACATCAATCATTCATTCACACCCAGAACGCTACGTCCACACTTCCTTCACAAACTGAAACAACCCCATTGCACCCCAGATTCAACATACATTTGCTTCATCAAGAACAGTTGAAAAAGGAGCACACAAAACCAACATGCATTTCATAAAATAATACGAAGAATTATATATATATGTGTGTGTTTATTTTACATTATTTCAACCCTCCATATCATCTATATATAACAGGTAAAAAACAAGCAAATGAAACAATGAGGGGGAGAGTAGTACAGTATAGCTTAGCCAGCACCTCTAGCCAACATTTGCTCGTAGTTTTCAATGGATTCAAGCCTCTGTAGCAGAAGCTGGTGCCTGAACTTCTGGATGAAAGCCTCGGCACTTTCGTTTATGTCGACCGATGGCTTTTTCTCCAGCTTATTCGTGGGAGCAGCAGCTGCCTTTCTCTCTGTCATTATCTTATTGTAGACACCCGTTTTTGTCCGGGTCTTTCCTATCTAATTTAATTTTAATTTTTTATTATTATTATTATTATTATTATTTATTTATTATTATTATTATATTAATTACATATTACAATATTTTGGCAGGCCAAAGCCCATTACAACCGGCCCAAACAGGACCCAACATTGGTAGGGTTTCACCCTATCTCACTAACCCATCAGATTAGGGTTTCAAACCCTAAAATAGATTAGGGTTTCAAACCCTAAAACAAATTAGGGTTTTAACCCTAATCCCCTAATGACAACCGCCGACCTAACTCATCAGCAAGCCAGCCAGCCGCCTCTGGCTATTTAGCTTCCCCAGCCTTGCGTGGTCTTCACCGGTCACTCCCGAGCCGAGTGAGCCGCCGCTGGTGAGTTCTCGAGCCACCGCCAATCTCTCCAGTTCATCCGTCATCCACAGTGACCCTCAACAGTGAGATAGCAGAGAAATCAATTAAAAATTGGAAAAATCCAAGCAAATCTATTCAAATCCAAGAGATGACAGCATGAGTATAGGGATATCATTCCCTACGAACTCAACCATCCATCAGTTAGAAGATATCAACACATGCATCAATAAAAAAGAAAAACCGAAGAAAAAAGGGGGGGGATTCGAACCACAACAAAAAAAGAAAAAAAGAAAAAAGAGGAGTAGGAGAGGATAATACCTTCATCGGAGGAGTGCCGGAAAGCCAAGTGGTCGCCGGAGTTCAAAGCTTTCGAGAGGTATAATCTTGGATCTAGGGTTGCTAGGTGGTTTTTAGAGGAAAATGGTTTAGGTTTCTGGTAAAGGAGGGTGAGGGGATGCTTTTGGGATCACCTGGTCCCTCCGGCCGCCGCGCCAGCAGCCGTGCGTCGCTGCTTGCTACCGTAAGCTCAGCCGGGTCCCTCTCTCCGATGAGAGGAGTTTAAGAGATTTTTGAATCTCTCTCTCCTCTCTATTTGGATAAGAGATGAGAAATGGGGATGAATGGGTAAGCAAGCCCGATCTTGGGCTCATATTATTCAATCAAAACGGCGCCGTTTCAGCAAGGGACCTTCAGCGTGTTTTTATCTTGTGGGGTAACTACACGTTTAGTCCCCCGCGCTTTGTAATATAATTATTAAGCCATATAATGAAGTTATATATTATTTGATTTCGAGCCTTTATTTTTCCTTCCTTACATTTTAGTCCTGCTATTACTTGTTATGCTATTCTGGTTATATGTGACTTTGGTCCCAATATTTATAATCATTTCAATTTAGTCACGGGTTTTTGTGTGTTGCTTATTTTTTGTGAACGTTCGAATTTGGATATGATATTTATGTATCTTACATTTTAGTCACTGATCATGTGTTGTTTTTTTATGTTCGAATTTGACAGCAATATTTGTAAATCTATCATTTTAGTCACTGGTAGCTTGTGTTGTGTATTTTTGTTGACATTTGAATCTGGTCATTTCATTTGTAAATATTTTATTTTTAGTCACTGATTTAATGTGTTATCATGTTCTGTTAATATTAGAATCTAGTCATGGTATTTGTAAAGTTATTATTATGGTCACTGTTTTACATTTGGTTTATTTATGATTCGGCCTTCATGTTTGTGTTTATTTCATTTAAGTCCTTTTTTTTGTTATTTTATCTTTGGGAAAGTTCCTGCTAGTATCATAGTATTTTATTTTCTTATATTTCAGTCCTTAATTGAAATGTTGGGTATTTTACTTCGAACTTTAACTTTCATCATTCTTATATTTTAGTCATTTTACACTGTTAATTGTTTTTAGTTAAATGTTTGATTTCACTTATTAATTTGTGATGTGTTTATTTTATTCCTTGCCGTTAGTTTTACTTTTTCATATTTTGATTTGCCAGGTTTGATGTTTGTTCATTTAGGCCTTAATATTAAATTATAATGTGTATGCTTGCTTGGTGTAAATATATTTATATTAGCGCATAGATCATGTTTACATCGATTAAATTATTTATTTATTTATTTATGTTTTCCATATGTATATAAATTGTATGTGCAAGGTGATTTATTTACTTTATTTTTCCTATTAAATTTCTAATTTGCAAATTGAATGATATTCGAGATTTATTTATTTTTTATGTATATAAGTGTTGTTAAGTGTATTTATGTGTATTTCGTGTGGAGCCCACCTTTGTGCCTTATATATACATATATTTGCTTTTCTTCCATGATTTATATTCATATTAATTTATTTTGTGTCAGCACTTTATGTATCTCTCGTATTTGGTTAAACATTTCATAACTAATTCGAATAATTTTGAGAACACAAATTTGTAGAACGTGCATGGAAAGTATCGCTTGATCGAAGTGGTACAATCTGATATGACATTCGAACAAATGTGAACTTGAAATTAATTTGATTTTATTTTGTTAATCCATTTCATTTTAAATCGAACATTGCAATGAATGTCTCTAAATAATAATTTATTTCATTTCATGTAAGTTATTAATTTTCATTCTACGATGTATATTCGATCCTTTTTTATCAATTTATTTCATTGAATGCGAGTGCAAATAGTCGATTTTCATTTTTAGTCGATTCATATATTTATTAACGAGGGAATATTCTTTTATTGATAAGAAATAGTCGAGTTAGCTTTCTCGATGGAGGATTGCTAATTTCGAGATTTCTTTTCGAATTAAAGAATTTTCTCTAATTAATTGATTCGAAGCAAATTAATCAACGTTCGATAAATAGATCATATTTTAACTTTATATTCGATTTGTAATTTCCACTATTTTACGACAACATGTAAGCGACACAGTACCATTTTTGGGCGCTGTGGGGGTGCTTACCCTTCCCCACACGTAACCGACTCCCGAACCTGTTAAATTTGATTTCTGGTAAATGTAGACCATTTTTGTCTTAAAAAATGATTTTTCTTAAATTTCTTTTAAAAAGACGTTTTTAGGTATTCGACCTACCTAACCCAAAGGTCGATGGCGACTCTATTCAATTTAATCCAAATTAATCCAAAATACTCAATTTTTCAAAATAAAAGTCATAATCGTTTTTTAAAATAATATTTAATTGTTTTACAAAAAAAATGGTTATGACAGCTTGGCGACTCCGCTGGGGAAGGAACTAGAGAGTCAGGCTGTCGGTCGCTTATATATGGTCGTTATGGTGGAAATTATAAGTTCGAATCTTTAGTAAAACTATGATCTATTTATTGAATTTTTATTTATTATTTTTATATACTAACATTTTAATTGTTTTCATTTTTTTCAGATATTTCTTAGTTCTCGTTGGGTGTTATTTTTTTATTTTCCCTGTTTTTTGAGTCAAAGGTTTGTTTGTTTCTCCTCACACACATCACTTTCATTAGCATAACACGAGCTCTAGACATGAGCTTCGATCCAAATTAGTTAGGGTGATTGCTTTACTCTCGTAAGAATTTATTCTTCGTATGAGTTTTAGCAAACAACCCATGGGATACATACCTTATACCTTCGTAGGAATTTATTCCTCGTATGGGTATAAGGCAGTGAATCCCCTCGAATTGAACTCGATCCGTTTGAAACCTGTAATGGGTGAGGATTGAGGGTTTGGTAGCCCAAGGGGGCACCGACATCAAGGACAATTCGAGTCCCTTTCCTGTTAGAACCGAAACCATGCATATAGTGAACCGTAAAATGGTCACCCTAGGTATAGCTATATCGAATCTCTGTCCGTCAGCATGTACCTAAAATAGGTGTACACAAAGGAGGAATATTTCTAAACCCTTACCTTTTGTTTTAAGTTTGTAGAATATATTTATTCTTTTAGAATAAAAGCATGCGAACTAGATACCATGCGGTTAGGATTATTTTCTTGAAATTAAATCATTTTTGGGTAGATAGCATGTCCGGGTAGGATTGTTATTTAATTGAAAGCATGTTTGGGTAGATATCATGACGGGGTAGGTGGTATATTCATCTCTGACTAATATTTTTATCCGTATAAATTATTTTACATGTACTAACTCGTTTTTCTCTTTTGTTTTTGCACACTAACTTATTTATTTTGTTTGTGTCGTTTTTCATCCTTCTTTGCATTACATTGCATCGACATAATATAATGCGAAAATATTGATCCGCAAGGGGATATCCATGAGAAAATCTTCGCAAGAAGAGATAAAAGTTTTCAATCAAGCGATCGCATACACAGACATGCATCGAGGGCTAAAAAGAAGTCCAGAGTACAAGAATGAGATTTTCTCGAAGATCGTGCATCATTCAATACTGAGATGATGATCCACTGATTCAAGGAGTAATCTAGCAGTGGAGTCTTATCTACAATCATTTCATCGCTAGTTATCAAAGAGCGACACACCGACCTCACTACCACAGAGGCATTAACGGAGTCAGATTACAGAGCGCTAGAGGGGCATCATTATTGAGGACGAAGATCCGAAAGGAAGCAGTGATCCATTCCAGGCTCACCATCTAAGCGAAGACATGTTTGTAAATTGGATTGTCTTGTAATGCGAAAACTTTTATTTCTGGTGAAGACTATTCTATGATATTCATCGTTGGGGTCAACATTTTTCCATCTGCATTTGCATCTTTTTATTTTGCATATATATTTTATTTTTAAGCATTTTCATATGCATCATTCATAAAAACATGAGATCAATTTGTGGAGAAGTCTGTGGAAGTGATCCTGATCACGTGACCATATTGAGAATATAAACAAGAAGCTGAAATCAACACGATAGAAGCTTGTTCGATTGAGTCTTCCAGGATGGTTCGAGAAAATAGTCCCCGTTCCTGGAGGTCCATGATGTTGATCTCGGGTACGACTACAATATAGGAAGCTTCAGTCATTCCGCTGAGAATTGTAAGACACTGAAGATCAAGGTCCAGAACTTGAGGGCATCTACAATTGAAGAAAATTGGGGCATTACTTCTAACACTTGAACTGAGAGATTATTTTGTTTGAACTCGTTTTGTTATCTCTTTTATATTTGCATAAATA